TATTCCGGAACTTCGCTACTCAGATAAAAGTCCTTCTTTCAAACTGTGTGAAGGGAATAGAAAATATAATGAAGTCTCTAGAAACACAGGGAAGATCGAAAACTATTGAATTGTAAGAAAAGGAAAGTAATGTCCAGAGACTAAAGTTGGCAGTCACACAAAAAGAAAACAACAAAAAAAAAACAAAAAAAATATGAAGAAATAACTTTGAAAATCTAGCCTCTATAATAAAGAGCAATGGATACTTAACTAAAATCAGAAGGAAGATGTTCATAGCAATACAACGATTAAACAGCATTAAACGTTTATGGTTAAGTACTAGCAAGGAAATCGAAATTAAAACTTTGAGAGCATGCATTTTCCATATATACGGATGTGAGTCGTAGACTATCTCCCAGTCCTTAAGAACGAAAATAGGGGCTTGTGAGCTAAAATGTTATATATAGACAGTCTCTCGGAATATCATGGACAAAGAAGAGAAGAAATACTGACATTATAAATGAACTGAACATCAAGGAAGTTTGGTTAATAAACAGCATCTTGTCTCGTTTGTTGAAATATTTTGGACATATGAAGTTCCACAGCAGTTTGGAAAATTAATAGCAGAAGGTATGGTACCAGGAACAAGGGGCAGGGACCTACCACCACAAAGATGGGCATAGGATATAAGTGACTCCTTAGATATGAAAGTACAATAGGGGGAGGATGGCGAAAGACCAAATTTCTTTCAGTCAGACTGCGATGTTCTACAAAAGACCTGCTTTATGATGATGATAATGATTGCATCGGTTAGGTCATCTGCGATAATCTACAATGCTGAATGTTTGCAATTCTCACTGCTAACAGTTTTAGTATATTTAGTTCTGTTTACTGCTTTTCAACGTTTTACCCATCTGGTAATACGCCATTTACTGGAAATATTTCGTTTAAAAAAACCAACTAGGTCCCGTAACTGCACAGAAAGTTGGCTCGAATGAATCTCAGTCATGCTCTGAGGATCGTCTTGGCTGTACACGCTCTGAAACTGATAATGGAAGTTAAGGGGGTAGGGGGGACTTGGGGAAGATTGTGTGAACTGGTGAAGACTGGAACGACTTGGCCGGAGTTGGTTCAGGGCCTATGCTCCATAGGGGGATAGAGGGCAGGAAAAAACGAACATCGATTTATCAGCTTTATCTGCGGGTAAGAACTTTCTAAAATAAGAAATCCAGGGACATTTACACATTTCGATGACTGATGCTTCCCGGGTCTTTTATAAATCCCAGGAATGCCACAAGGGAATACACATCTGCGGGACACACACAGGATGATAATTTACATCTATGACATTTCCTACTTCCGTTTCCTCTTTCCGCCATGTTAATTAGTGCAGGCTTTGTTGTTATTGTTAGATATCCAGTTTTGATGCTGTGAATGCTGATGCTTTGCTCGATTTTCTTTAAATGACTTCTACAAGAGATACGTCAAACGTGCACATATTCAACGTTTGCCTTTTCCTTCTCTTCTTCTTCTGATCGCTCACCGACTGTTAATTTTGGCGGGAAGTTCTGATTGTTCCCTTACATGTTGACTTTAATTAGTCTTGTTCCAGAATTTGAGTTTTGCATGCACATCCATTTTACAGATCTGACTTATTTAAATGCAGACTGTTTGGTCTTGTCCTCTCAGGCAGATGCACTCTGACTTCAGATGAAACCCTTAATTAATATTTTACTACATGATTGTTAGGTAGGCGTTGGGTCAATTCTTGTCTTACCCTCCAGCTCTTCCAGTTCGACCCCAACAGTGGGTCCCTGGAACCCAAATAGGGTCTGATCTGAGTATACCCTAACAAACAAGAACTGGCCGTCACAGTAAACGAAGGGTTAAGGACTCTTGCTCCAGCACTGGCCATATGATGTGATCAGTCGATCACTCTGTTTATCCCCTTGGACTGCTTCCACACACGAAAACAATCTCAGCCTGGTCGTCAGAGCAACAAGGCAGATCCCAGATAACCCATTTAACCTCCAACGAAGTTATAATTAGGGCCCCCGTTACAGCGACACTAGCCTGGTGTAACCTAGTCCTGTGTGAAGCCTGCATCTGATGGTAAACTCACATTTTTGTATACCTGCTTGATATGTCAGAAAGGACCCTTTTCCCCACCTTCAGGTGTATAAGGTATATTGGGCTAAGCCTATATTTTATAGAACAATCGGCACTTGATGGGTGATGTGGTCAGTATCACGCCGGCCGCCTTTTCTTCCCAGCACTGACCGACTCAAGGCTGGATCGACCTAAGAGCCAGGGTCATTTTTGTAAACAGTCCTTCCCCGTCAGGACCCGAACCCAAGACCTTCCGATTCACAGACGAGCTTCTACCTGCTCCACCACGGCCACTCCATCGATGGGTGGTGTGGTGGGTTTACAGACGAGCCTCTACCTGCTACACCACGGCAACTCCATCGATGGGTGGTCTGGTGAACCATTTAGTCGACCGCCAGTATTCCCCAGGATTTTCTGTTGTAGGTTGTATAGACTGGGTCGACTCGAAGGTGAAAGACAACTGTATTCAGAAAACAAACATGAAGCTTGCAGACTTGTGGACACATTATTCATATAGACGAATGGAAATATGGGCAACCAGACAGACAGGTGAACAGA